TACGATGTAGAGGTAGAACAGTGTTTCTATACAATGTAGAGGTAGCACGGTGTTTCTATACAATGTAGAGGTAGCACGGTGTTTCTATACAATGTAGAGGTAGCACGGTGTTTCTATACAATGTAGAGGTAGCACGGTGTTTCTATACAATGTAGAGGTAGAACGGTGTTTCTATACGATGTAGAGGTAGAATGGTGTTTCTATACAATGTAGAGGTAGAACGGTGTTTCTATGCAATGTAGTGGTAGAACGGTGTTTCTGTACAATGTAGAGGTAGCACGGTGTTTCTGTACGATGTTGAGGTAGCACGTAGTTTCTATACAATGTAGAGGTTGCACGGTGTTTCTATGCAATGTAGAGGTAGAACGGTGTTTCTATACGATGTAGAGGTAGAACGGTGTTTCTATACGATGTAGAGGTAGAACAGTGTTTCTATACAATGTAGAGGTAGCAAGATGTTTCTATACAATGTAGAGGTAGCACGGTGTTTCTATACGATGAAGAGGTAGAACAGTGTTTCTATACAATGTAGAGGTAGCACGGTGCTTCTATGCAATGTAGAGGTAGCACGGTGTTTCTATACGATGAAGAGGTAGCACGGTGTTTCTATGCAATGTAGAGGTAGCACGGTGTTTCTATGCAATGTAGAGGTAGAACGGTGTTTCAAAACGATGTTGAGGTAGCATGGTGTTTCTATACGATGTTGATGTAGCACGGTGTTTCTATACAATGTAGAGGTAGAACGGTGTTTCTATACGATGTAGAGGTAGAACGGTGTTTCTATGCAATGTAGAGGTAGAACGATGTTTCTGTACGATGTAGAGGTAGAACAGTGTTTCTATACAATGTAGAGGTAGCACGGTGTTTCTATACAATGTAGAGGTAGCACGGTGTTTCTATACAATGTAGAGATAGGACAGTGTTTCTATACGATGTAGAGGTAGAACGGTGTTTCTATACAATGTAGACTCACTGAGGTAGAACGGTGTTTCTATACGATGTAGAGGTAGAACGGTGTTTCTGTACGATGTAGAGGTAGAACGGTGTTTCTATACAATGTAGATGTAGCATGGTGTTTCTATACGATGTTGAGGTAGCACGTAGTTTCTATACAATGTAGAGGTTGCACGGTGTTTCAAAAACCATGTTGAGGTAGCACGGTGTTTCAAAACGATGTACAGGCAGCGTGATCTTTCGTTTTGTCCTAGCGCGGTTAGTTCAACCATGGGCTAGTGGTTAAAGAGGATGATTCCCCTCATTAGTTCAACGTGTGAAGTCCATTTCTGGTCACACGCGTTACCACTGAACTATTGCGGCTATGAATACTCTTCAACGCCATGCGGCTGCAATGCGGCGTTATAATCAGCCTAGAGCCATCACGCCGTGTGCTCAGCCCGTATATCAAAACCAAGGAAATATATCTCCGTAGGACCATCAACATGAACCAAATGGGTCATTCCATGATGTTTCTACAAGAACGAGACAATCTCAGTGGTAATTATTCCTTCAAGACAAGTAATGAGTGGATCCCGCTGACGGTGATCATTGCTTGACCCGCATCGTTTACAGAAGCAGAAATTAGGTTACGGTGGAGACTGATGGAGTACTAAATACACCTACCGCCAGGTCGAGTACACAGGAGAGCTATGATCTGTGACCTGTATTAACTCGATATCCATAAATAATCATTGTATATTAAATTAATCATTTGAGTGACTGATTTTTTATGAAATTGATTTGTAACTTGACAAAGACATTTTCTAACGCACTTAGGGACAACTGGAATATAATTTTAGCTTTTTGACAGCTCATGATCAATTGACCGTTTAACCTATGTGTACTAAATAACCAGATTGGCTATCTTGTGGACTGTTTACCTTATTTACTAGGTAATGCACGAAATAACCAGATGTGCTATCTTTGTGGACTGTTAACTCGATTTATTCTAAATATCTCAGGGGTGAAGAAGAAGTGAATGATGATGTATTCACTCTGATTATGGACCCGTGAAAATCCGGGGTAGAATAGGTCGTAAGAGGCGACTAACGTGATCGGGTGTTAAGGCTCCCATGTGCTCATGATGTCAATCACTGGATTGTCTGGTCCAGACTCGATTATTTACAGACCGCCGTCATATAGCTGGAATATTGCTGAGTGCGGCGTTAAACAACAAAGAAAGAAAGAAACAAACACTCTGATAATGGGCTTTGGTTTGCCAGCACCATACATCCAAGAAGGCGACTCTTTCCTAAAATATTAATCCGTCACGCTCTCAAACTATAATTCAAGACGGGAACCTAACTCACTCACTCACTCATACACCTGATGAGGAATATATAAAAATTGCCCCCTCAGTGGCGCAACATTTGCTTTGCCTCTGTATAAATTGATACGGTTGCGAGTATGGATTGGCTAACAATAAGTGAGTTTAGTTTAACGCTGCTTTGAACAGTGTTTCAGCTGCACCACGGCGTGTCAGCTTAATGTGGGAGGAAAGCCCGAAGTGATGCAGGTCTCAGATGTTTACCATTTTGGTGAAACCCACGAGCACGGGTATGCTGCTGATAAGCCAAGATACTTTATTTGGGCGAAACGGGATTCGAACCCACGATCATAGGATTCTGGCACGCTTGACGGACGCCAAAGCGAATTCAGTCACCTCAGACAACTGAACCATCCGAGCCCGCGGATTGATTGATTTGTCTGATGCCGAAGAAAAAAATGGTAATGTAATTTAAGTACATTATGAATAATGAATTATATCCGATGATCGTGTACTTCCAGTGCAAATTTATCCTTGTTCAAATTGGGGGCACGGGTGGCCCAGTCGTCTAAGGCGCCGCGATTCGCTGTGCAGTGTTGCGTCCCTTGGGCACGCCAGAAACCTATGATTGTGGGTTCGAATCCCGGTTCGCCCAGATTATGTTTCTAGGTTTGTCAGCACCATACCCGTGCTCGTGGGTTTCACCGAAGTGGTAAACGTCTGTGACCTGCATCACTTCGAGCTTTTCTCCCACATTAAGCTGACACGCCGCGATATAACTGGAATACTGTTAAAAGCGGCGTTAAACCCAACTCACTCACTCACTCTTTGTTCAAATTGAATAAAAGATTGACGTCACGATTCTGAATGCGTCCGGCGTTCATCAGGAGAAAATGGTCACTTTTCATGAGAAACCTATTGGGAATCGATGTGTGTGTTGATCTACCTTTGAAATAATCTGTTCAATGATCATGTATTTCTTGGCTGTATGGTCCCATCAGGGTCCAATGATGCATATCGTCATCGTCAATAGGTCGCTCTTGATATTAAGCTTTTCAAGCGAAACGTATATAGGACATAATTATTTTTAAATTAATGCGCCATTCGTAATGAACCGTAGCATATGCCTTCAGAACGTACATGTACCATATAAGTAAGAAAAACGTACAATTGTATGGATGACAACTTCTGGTTTATTGCATACAGCGATGTTTCTATGTAGATTCTTACACCGTTATCAAACTGGAGTGGACGGCAGGGTATTTGTTTAGTTTTATTCTAGCTTTAAACTTGACTCTACCACCCATACGCATAAGGATGTCCCTTGATTGTTGGTTGGTTCGTTTGTTGTTTAACGCCGCACTCAGCAATAATCCAGCTATATAACGGCGGTCTGTAAATAATCGAGTCTGGACCAGACAAGCAATTGAGATCGATGACATGCATCAACCAAGTCAGCAAGCCTGACCACCCGATCCCGTTAGTCGCCTCTTACGACAAGCATAGTCACCTTTTACGGCAAGCAGGGGTTCCTGAAGACCCATTCTACCCCGGATCTTCACGGGTCGGATGTTTCTTGAATATTAGTAACTATATAAATATAGGAGTATATAACACTAGAAGTCTCAGGATATTTACCCTACCCTCCATCATGTCGTATTTTCATGTACAAATCAATACAATTGGCAATGATACGGTGACTTCAGTATATGGTAATCCACCGGTGTGGCATCGTTACCAAATACATGTCTTTATTGCATGATTACTTTCACGATACTCGTAGTTTTATGTTGTGTCCATTACATGTAAATGTTTCTGATTCCTTGGTCTGTGGGGAAGAAACACGAGCCAATGGTGCTCGTGTGTGTGTGTGTGTGTGTGTGTGTGTGTGTGTGTGTGTGTGTGTGTGTGCGTGCGTGTGCGCATGTGCGTGTGCGTGTGCGTGTGCGTACGTGTGTGTATGTGTGTGGCTATTGTATGGCTTATCATTCCAGGGTCTGAAGCCAGTTCTTTCTTGTTGTAGGACGTCAGCATTATGACAAGACAGTGATGACCTACAATGCACACGAAACAATTGGATGGCTAGTAACAAAGCGGAGTTATTTCTGCAACTGAACCCACTGAGAGTCCATTGAAGCCCTACGGGTAGACGTATTACCCTCCATTCCTGATCAACATGGGCACTGTAATGAACCTGGGCAGCATTGATATCAGATAACGGGACACGATAAATATACCAGCTGCCAACTGTGCACCACACGTACAACCCAAGCCATGGCTGCTACAATATACTGCTAATTCTATTACGTGGTCAATGGTAACGTCAACTTAAAGTTTCCAAATGTAAAGTCCGTCATCCGATACTCAATGAGGTTAAGAGGTAGTATAAAACATACATTATGAAATATTATTTCTATATTAATTTCCACCAATAGTTATAGCCGAACATTAAACATATTAAACAGAAGCCCAATTATCAATACTTATGTGACAGTGAAGAAACTGGGACCACTCCGATGGATGGGTATTACCTTCAGTGGCCTTGACCCAGCTTGACCTTGACCCAGTGATTACCTCCAGGCTACCATGTGGGGATTCCGGGCTGCAACCACCAGATTCGGCTGATTGCGTGAATGTGACTCATAACATCACTGACTAGACTGGCCGCTCCAAACACGATTTCTACAGGCCGCCGTGATACAGATGGAATATAAATTAGGGCAAAATGCAAACAAACCTTCAGGGTTGAAACCCGGTTGGATCTTGACCGGACACGGCTTGTAGGAAGTCTCCCCAGCAGGCGTGTAGTCAAAGCACAACCAGCCATCAAACGTTGAATTACAATAGAGGCGACCTGCGGGTATAGGACAAAGTTTAATCAGTAAAATACAATTAAATCCTTTGATATTTACATAACCTAATAAAACAGAAGGGATTCTCCACAAAGGATAGATACATTCGAAACAAACATTCATCATTGACACAAGGTGCTTGTGAAAAGGGTGGTCATGTCTTACCCTGAGCACAGCATCCATCGTGGTTGAGTGAGTGAGTGAGTTAGTTGGGTATAACACCCCTTTGACGTATTCCAGTTATATCACGGTGTGTCACCTTAATATGTGAGGAAAGCCCGAAGTGATGCAGGTCTCGGACGTTTACCACTTCGGTGAAACCCACGAGCACGGGTATGGTGCTGACAAACCTAGAAACATAATCGGGTCGAACTGGGATTCGAACCCACAATCATAGCTTTCCGGCGTGCCCAAGGGAGGCAACTCTGCAAGGCGAATCGCGGCGCCTTAGACAACTGAGCCATCCGTGCCCCCTCGTGGTTGAAAGTCAAGGTCACAATAGAGTAGGCCTTCAACAACATGACGTTCTTTGTCGCGGTAATAGAAAGATCACGACGTTTTCCAAGTGTTAAACTGGCAGCTGTCTCCTTGGGCTGTCAACAGCTATTTCTGTTTGTTATGTAACCACTGATATTACTGTCACCGTGGCCAATCAGTGTCTAACTAAGACACCATGTTTTTACTAGCTGAATTATGTACTTATTTCAATTCTCAAGACCGCCTCCGTGGTCTAGTGGATAGAGCGTCTGCCTGGGGGCAGCCACCCCAAACACACCCTTCACCCCCTACACACACGCGGGGGCGGTCGGGTAGCCTAGTGGTTAAAGCGTTCGCTCGTCACGCCGAAGACCCGGGTTCGATTCCCGACTTGGGTAAAATGTGTGAAGCCCATTTCTGGTGTCCCCCGCCTTTAAATTGCTGAAATATTGCTAAAAGCGGCGTAAAACCATACTCACTACTACACACACGCGCATGAACGTATCTTTACAAGTGCAATAATCTTGAACGCGACGTTAAATCCCATTTTAGCCTCACTTCAATTCCCAATTTAATTTACCTGGGATATAACACAGATTTGGTTTCGCTCCGGATATAAAGTCATTCGGTCACCAGTGAAATCCTGTTTCAATACACACACTGAACCAAAGATGCTACCAGTAGAGTGAGTGAGTGAGTATGGTTTTACGCCGCTTTTAGCAATATTCCAGCAATATCACGGCGGGGGACACCAGAAATGGGCTTCACACATTGTACCCATGTCGGGAATCGAACCCGGGTCTTCGGCGTGAGGAGCGAACGCTTTAACCACTAGGCTACCCGACCGCCCCGCTACCAGTAGAACATGAACCCTTTTGATGATCGTGCCCAATTACAACCTGTGAAATCTGTTCAACTGCTCAACGACATTCTTCAGTACAATTGTATACCTTCTTCTACGACTATTCACCTCAAACGATGTTCGAAATACTCTATGATTTACATATTCAAAATAAGTCAAGCATGCTTTCAAGTGTCCAAATTGAAAGTGAATGGGAACTGAAATTTATTGAGAAAACAATTTGTGAATAGATGGACCTCCCCATTGATAAAATCTGTGTAAAATTTGAGGATAACCGATTTAGTAAAGACGAAGGCATCCCAATGTGCTCCATTTCTTCATGCACATGAGTCCGAATTTCAGCTCAGATTGGCTAACGTCAAAACAAGGGAATTTAACCAAGAAGCTTAACCTAAGCTTCAGATATATCGATGATTTAATGGTCCATAATGGTCAAATGGCCAAATCCCTTCCACTGATTTACCCACCTGAACTAGAAATAAAGGCGATAAGCGAAACCACTTGATCTGTTTCATATTTATATCTACAGCTGTATCCATAAACAATAAGAATGACAAAACCTGTCAACAAGATTTCACAGATCTAGCCTTTGGTGTCTACATTTCACAACTTTTGAGATACCGCCAAGTGGAATCTTTATTCGAAGATTTCCAAAAGCCTCATACATTTCTTGGTCAAATGTTGTTTGATCAAGGTTACAACATTAATTGAGTGAGAGTATTCCAGCAATATCAGGGAGGGAGACACCAGAAATGGGCTTCACACATTGTACCCATGTAGGGATTCGAACCCGAGTCTTCACGTGACGAGCTTTATCCACTGGGCTACCCCACCGCTACAACAGTAAGGCATCAGTGAAGCTTTCAAAATGTTTTACGCTAGACATGTGGAAGACATTTCCAAAGTAGCGGCTAAAATGATTTCCGATACAATTCCTTATTTTGACCGTGATAATATATCATTATATACCTCGCTTGTCTAACTCCCAGACGAATATAGACTCATGTCGGCACACAAATGCACTTGTCAATTTGTGTATATTGACGACAGGTCAAAAAACATTTTTACATCTTTTCCAATATAGGTTACACGTCACATGCATGCTCTGTGAAATACTTCTGGATCACACAGGGAGTGCAGATGAGACAGCTGTACTGAGCCATTGAGCAAAGCCGGAAATATTGGTCACTAAAATAGTCATGATGGTCGATATTGAACACGGAAGTAGATTAATTTCCTGTCGGTGGATTAATAGTAGTATCAATGGACTAGACATTTTGGCAGTATTCACCTTTCACATGACATGAGGGACATCTGAAAGTACGCGTTAGAGAAATGATTTTATGTAGACACCTTGTTGTTTCTGACATTGCCAATGGTAAGATGTCAATGTAAAGCTCTTCGTTAACAGTGTTGCCAAGTGTTAAGATTACTTCGTGATATATACCTATTAGGCTTCAGGTCAGTAGACTGATAGTGAAGGCTTTTCGTTCCATTTGTTCAACTGTTTCAACATTTTCTATTATACTATATCTTTAAACCTGATGAAATAATGGTCGAATAAAAACTGTCTGCATATTGTTGTGTATTCTATTCAACTTACAAACGAGCACTGTTTATGAGGTATTTTGTAGAAATTAATTTTATAATTAATCATGTACAAAATTCCATTCAGCGACCCATGCTTGTCGTAAGAGGTGACTAACGGAATCGGGTGGTCAGGCTCGCTGACTTGGTTGATGCATGTCTTCGATCCAATTTGCGTGGATCTATGCTCATGATGTCAATCACGGGATTGTCTGGTCCAGACTCGATTATTTACAGACCGCCGTCATATAGCTGGAATACTGCTGAGACCGGCGTTAAACAACCAACCAACCAACCAACCATTACCATTGCAGTGTTTTTCCCCGTGATTTAGTTGTATGACAGTGAATAACGCTTACCTATATTTCAGCAAAACGTGTCGCAATTCTACCCGCGGACCATAAACAGCAGTATGTTTGGCATCATGTTGAAGCACATATTCAGAACCATGGTATTCATTAATTTTGACACGATGGTATTCTTGTGGTATTCTACATATATTAACAGAACCATAATATCAACATGATATACTTTTTACACCATGGTATTCTTGTGGTATTGTACAAATATTTACAGAGGTGAGGTGAGGTGAAATGCGGTTCAACGTCGCGTCCAAGATTATTGCATTTATATAGCGACGTGCATTTACGTGTGTGTGTTTGTGTGGCTGCTTGTACTAGTCCGGACTGATGCCGATTTATAGTGCTAGCTCAATGAGATACCATGCCGCAGTTTAACATGAATACCCCACTCAGACACAGAATACTGACTCCGAGCCGACCAGTCCTTGTTTTAGCCCCTTAATGCCGAGCGCCAGACAGGGTAACAACAAGTACCATCTTTTAACGTCTTTTGGTATGACGCGGTCGGGAATCGAACCCCGGACCTTCCGCTCTCCGGGCGGACGCCCTACCACTAGACCACGGAGGCGGTCAAAAATATGTACAGAACCATAATATCAACATGATATCCTTTTTACACCATGGTATTCTTGTGGTATTCTACATATATTTACAGAACTATAATATCACAATGATATCCTTTTTACACCATGGTATCCTTGTGGTAAAATCTTCAGAACCATATTCGTATGATATATGCATGTATGAAGAACCATCATATTCCCAGATGCATGATATACATTCGACAACATGATAGTCTTGTGGTACATGAATATGTATGTATCCAAAGACATACTATTTGCATGCTTACATGCTTACATGCTTACATGCCTACATGCTTACCCTTTTCACGCACCTGCTGGCATGATTGAATTTCAGTGATCCATTCACCTAATTTTCTCTGGAGTTAAATTTTTATATACTGCGGGCAAGAGAAAGCATACACTTGAACGTTAGGTTTGACCTAAGGTAGAGCGTCTGCCCGGAGAGCGGAAGGTCCGGGGTTCGATCCCCGGCCGGGTCATACCAAAACACGTTAAAAGATGGTACTTGTTGTTACCCTATCTGGCGCTCGGCATTTAGGGGCTAAAACAAGGACTGGTCGGCTCAGAGTCAGTAAACTGTATCTGAGTGGGGTTTCATGTTAAACTGCGGCATGGTATCTCAGTGTGCTAGCACTATAAATCGGCATCAGTCCGGACTAGTACAAGCAGCCACACAAACACACACACGTACATGCACGTCGCTATATAAGTGCAATAATCTTGGACGCGACGTTAAACCCCATTTCACCTCACCTTGACCTAAGGTTTCTAACGTTATCAAAACGTTTCTAGCTGAAAACAATCACCAAAACACTGCAAACGTATGGTCCAAACCAAAACTATAATACCTGTATAAAAAACATTTATTTACCATCGAATAACAATTTTTTTCTTTTTCAATTTTAGACACCATCAAACATGAGTGTTCACTTTATTTTGCTGGGCAGTTTAATTATATTTGACAGCACTGGATGTTTTTTAAACAAAAAGTACTCAGAACCATGACGTTTTCATGGTACCCGTTCAGACTTTTTATCTATTTACTAAAACACCTGGCACACGTGTAGGACTTATGTTATATTGTGAATTAAATGTTTTAGAATGTAAAATGCAACTAATAATACGTTTGC